GAGGGGCGACAGTGCAGTCACCGTGAACTGAAGTGTGTTGCAACTCAAGTCTTTGCATGTGGGGCCCAAGCGCAGACCTAGGCAGACAGGCGCCGGGGCATTCAGCACACAATCCATGAGCAGGGCAAGCGAGTTGTAGACACAACAGCTTTGCTCCCCTAGGCCTAGATTCCTCTTTAAGATTGAACTACACCTTTTTCAATCACCTCAACAGGAAATTTGTCTTGATTGTAACACCACACGGAGTACAAACAAGACGCTAAGTTAAAGACATCCACGTCAGCATAACTGCACAAGTCGTTTAACCTTGTTCTTCTCACCCCCGCACGACCTGTCGAGGAACCAGCCATGGCTCTTGATTCCAAGGCATCCTTTGTGCAACGTGCCATCGAAGTAGGACTCACTGATAGGCAAGTACAAGCCTTAGATGCAGTCGGGGTAAATTCATTCGCCAGATATGCATACTGCACTGCGTACCAACCAGGTCAAGTCGATGATACACCCCTAGTGCAGTTTTGGACGAGGGCTTTAGGAGACGACCCCGATGCTGGCACATTAGCATCTGCTCGACGCTTGTTCTTTGAGAGTCATGCCCTGGCCTTGGACGAGCTCAAGACAAGATCCGAACGCACCGAGTCAAGTGAGGCCAGAACCATTCCATTAGCTGAGAAGATGGATAGGATGAGAAATCTAAAGGCAAGGTTGACCGGCGTCACCTTCACACCATCAAGTGAGCCCTCACATAACCTGATTGATAGAGCATGCCAACAGCTGGAGGACAACGTGCTAACCTACATTCCTCTCAACAAGTGCACCTCTCGCCAGGACGAAACGTTGCAGTCCAAGACCGACGCTTCGATCTCCATGGACTCGACCGGCAACCTGCGTGTGACCAAGAAACAAAAGACGGAGGACACCAAGATTGAGGGAGAACACCGACTGAGGTCTGCTTTTCACCGTCGTGCATTAGCATATGACATTGCCAACATAGGCACTTTCCAAACCATGGATAAGTGGACGCAGACTCTTTTCGACAAGATCACAGAGATGCCAGTGCCAGGGTTTCGATCCATCACGATTGATCAGGCCATCAACGCCGACAAGGCGCTTTGGATCAAGCTGTCAGAGGAGACCCGGGCGAACTTGGCATCGACGGCCGGGCAGCCAAAGCCATTCGACGTAGCGTTTGAGAGGCTCACCAACCATGCCGAGATTCTGTTGCATCTCACGCCTTTGCCGGTCCAGTCCGTGAAGCATGAACCATCCACACCATCGTACACACAGCCATATCACACTGCACCCAAAGGGAAAGGAGGCTTTAGTAAAGGTAAAGGCAAAGGCAACTCAGGTCAGCATCAGCAGAATACGCCGATAGTCGTGCCGGATAACTGTGAGTTGCAAGCAGGGGACAAGACTTTGTGCAAACGCTTCAATGTGGGCAGGTGCAAGGCAAAAATCCGACCAGGAAAGAGGTGCATGATCGGCTGGCATTTGTGTTGGAAGAAGGATTGTCACAAAGCACACCCGGGGAGCGAATGCCCCCTGTGACTAGCCTCGCCACCAAGTCCTGACCTTAATTCGAACCAGCTCACTTGCACAGTCATAGAAGTATGCTGTGGATCTGCAAGTTTTTCTGATGCTGTTCGCCGTGCAGGTTTCACCGTTTTTCCGATCGATCATCAAGCCAATCGTCATCACACCAAGGTTAAGCCAGTCATCCTCGACCTGACCGTAGACAACCATATCAGCATTTTCAAGCAATTGCGCTCACACACTAAGCCTTGTTTGATCTTTTGTGGATTTCCTTGTGGCACATGTAGCCGAGCCAGGGATAAGCGCCTCCCTGGTCACCTGGGCCACGGACATGGGCCTCCACCGCTTCGAAACGAGCAGCATGTGTGGGGCCTTCCAAACTTGTCCCCAACAAACCAGTGGAAAGTATCACAAGCGAACAAAATTTACCAACTAGCTTTATGGATCCTTGAGTACTGTCACCGCACGGGGTGCCTTTTTGCAGTTGAAAACCCACATCGGTCGTGGCTGTGGACGCTTCTCGCTGACCTGTTCAGGACTTGCGACAACCGGGCCTTAAAAGCCTATGCAGCCACCTTGGAACATGTGATTTTTGACCAATGTATGCACGGGGGAGCAAGGGACAAGCGCACCAAAATCCTTGCTTCCCCGGGGCTGTTCGCCCCGCTTGCAGCTGACTGTGACCAATCCCATGATCACTCCTCTTGGACTCCATATACTCAGGATGGTCGAATGGTGTACCCGACAGCCACCGAGGCAGAGTACCCAGCTTTGCTCTCCAAACGCATGGCCGCATGTGTTGTCGAAGCAGTGCGCCAACTAGGACTGACCCCGCAAGTGCACCCGCGCTTAAAGGACCTCCTAACTTATAGCCTCGGGGCCCAGACCATCCGACACCCTCCGCTTGTGCCGGAGTATAGGGAATTTGCCTACTTAGACCAACCCGTAGATCTTCCCACCTATAAACTCTTGGCGTCTCCTGTCCAGGGGGCGAATACCGAGACGCTTCAAGTGGATACCCCTCAAAAGAAATCGCGAGTTAGGCGCACGTATAAGTATGGCATCCTTAGGGAACCAGCTGAATTCTTGGAACAAGCCAGGCAGGTCGTGCATCCGATTGATACTGAGCACTTCATCCATGAAGCAACTCACGAAGCCATCAAGTGCGTGATTACGACCAAACCAGTTACCCTTGCTAAGCAAAGGTTGCAAGTAGTGCTTAATCTTAGGAAGTTGGCTGACGAACTCGCTCCGAAAGAGAAAGAACTGAAAGGCAGCGTGGACCCACAGCTTCGAGAACGACTAAAGGAGAAAAACATTGTCCTTTTTGAGCACCTCTTGAAGAAGCTGGAATACGAAGACTTGGGGGTGATCGACCTCCTAGTTAAGGGTGTCCCGCTAGTGGGCATGCAGGAGGCTCCAAATGGATGCAAGCCGTTGGTAGTTCCTGCAACTATGACTCAGGACGAGCTTGAGGCATCAGCATATTGGCGAAGGAAGAGTGTCATGGGGGCCAAGGCAGACTTAGCCCCTGCTGATGAGGAGAGGAGGAGTTGGCTGCGGCAGCCCAAAAGGAAGTGAGTTTAGGTTTCTTGAAGGGACCGTTCACGGAGTCTCAACTGGATGGCTTTTATGGCCATCAAAAGTGGCTCCTGAACCCCAGGTTCGCCTTGCATCAAGGACTCAACAAAGTCCGTGTAATTGATGACGCCAAAGCCAGCTCTTTGAACACGGCATACTCTTCCACCTTCAAATTGCAGTTGCAGGACAACGACTACATAGCGGCCATGATCCGTGCTACCATGATAGAGCAGAAGCGACAGGCACTGTCGGACACTTGGCTTGGGAGAACTCTGGACCTCAGCAAGGCCTACAAGCAGTTGGCCATTATGCCGGGGCACGCTCACCTGGCAGTTGTGGGATTCCCCGTCAGGGGCCAGTGGCAATTCTACAGGTCTGTTGCCCTGCCTTTTGGCGCCACGGGCAGTGTGTATGGCTTCGTCCGAGTGTCGCGAGCTTTGTGGTTTGTGGTCACCAAGTTGCTGAAGGCCATCACCTCGCATTATTTTGATGACTTCCCAATGATAGAGCGAACAGCAGGTGCCAGAGTGCTTTCCCTCTCTTTTGGGGCCATCTTAGACTTGCTGGGCTGGCAATATGCTAAGGAAGGGGACAAAGCGAGTGACTTCGCCCTGGCGTTTGACGCGCTGGGTGTGACTTACACGCTGAACCATGCTCCCTCGGGTGGCTTTGAAGTGGCCAACAAGGCGGGACGCCTCGAGAAGATCTGTGAGCTGTTGGAGGCCATAGAAAAGCGGGGCATTGTCACGGGGGCCCAAGCCGCCGAAGTGCAAGGGCTCCTCAACTTTGCATGTGGCTTCTTCTCGACCAAAGCCGTTCGCCAGCTAGTGTCTGCCTTTGCCCCTTTGGCAGACGACCGTAGCCCTGAAGCTAAAGGTAAACTAGTAGCCCTACGCCGCTACTCCCGAGCCATCCTTGTTGCCTTAGGACCCCGCTCACACCGTGTAACTGACACCGATAGTCCCTATCTCATCTTCACGGACGGCGCCTTCGAGGGGGGCCGGGCTTCGGCCGGCGCTGTGATAGTGGACACTGCTAGGGATTTCGGTTCGTGCTTCGCCGTCGATGTGCCTCAGGACCTTCTGAACCTCTGGCTGGAGACGACGGATCAGGTAATTTGTCAAATTGAGTTGTGGGCCTTTGTGGCCGTCAGGTGGGATCTCCGGGCTACCCTCCTGAACCGGAGAGTCATAGCATGGATCGACAATGAGGCAGCGCGAATCAGCCTCATCAAAGCTGCATCGCATTCGCCCACCATGGCGGCCATGTGCCAGGTTTGTTGCGACATGGAGATATCCCATCCGACAATGCTTTGGATCGAAAGAGTGCCGTCTGTTTCGAACCCGGCTGACCTTCCGTCTAGGCACCAAGCTGGTAGAGCCTCGGAGAGTCTAGGCCTCAACCTTTCGAAAACTTTGCATTGCGATTCAGAGTTGGTAAGGGCAGTTGGGAACGCCACCAAACATCCCTTTGCTGTCCCTCATACCACGGGGGCATAAATCCGAGCTACAGTCAAGGAGATATGCCTCGTTGTGAC